TTTCTGGTAAGCACATGCGCCCTATAGTAAAGGTTTCTCCAAAAAAGAAGATTCAAGAACTGAGACTTTATTTATGTCATTTTAGTGTTTCATTTTTATTGGATATTTTACACAAAATATTTGTATAGTAGCTTTAAAATTGATTAGTACTTTGTTTATATTAGTCTCTAATGGTTTAAAAGAACTCTACCAAGAGCTATAAATATTATTTATTTTTTAAAGTTTGATTCTTTGTTTCATGAGTGAGAGATATACAGAAATTGAAATAGAGATATGGCTGAATGGATTGAAAAACTGTGGCACATATACTCTATGGAATACTATTCAGCCATTAAGAACAACAAAACCCTGGCTTTTGACAGAAAGTGGAAAAATATGGAAGATTTACTGGTTTCAAAAATCAATTCGTTTCTTTTAGTCTTGGTATTAATATTTGCAACTAACATTAATAATTTGTCTCATATTAATCAACTGGGACTTGAATTTTAGCTTAAAATGTATTTTTTATTTTTAGTTTGTTTTATGGTGTGTGCACTAGCCAGAGACAGACAGAGGGAAAGTGAGAAATCACCCTCAAGCTGGATGGTCACACTTCAATCCCTTCTTTCCCATTCTTCTCTCGAGATTTTTTTGTGAAATGCACGTCCATACACCCACTCTGTTTTACAAACTTCCAGGTCTGGGACTCAAATTGTGCAGTTGAATATGTGGGGTTCAGTCACCTTAACCACCATGCCACCTCTCTGGCCCTAATAAAAATCTCTTTTAATATAATTTTGTGCTCAATTTGTCCCACCAGGAAAATTCTAGTACATAAAAACATTTGAAATGTGCTACCATTCTTCCACCAAAAAATTTACATATTTTAATTGGCTAGTTTTCTTAGTAAGATTTAAAACAAAATTTACAATGTCTTCATCATCCTGGTATATAATTTACTCTCTAGGTCCATCCCAGCAAGCCACATGCAACAAGACCACTATTTTTACTTCTTATTTATTGATTAATCATCTGTGAGGTTTTTCCATGTCATTAAACTTATAATTGCTATATTTTTACACCAGGTCAATAGCAGAATTTTAAATTAATGGGTGTAAAGTTAAATAATCATATAGGCTATTTGTATTGTGTGCAAATTATTATATGCCCCATTTATTATGAATTCTTAACCTCTAAAGCTCTCCATTTCAACATTTAATAAAATGAAAACTAACATTCCATTAAATTTTGGCTTTTACTATATGATAAATCCTAAGAGGGAAGACAATCCGTTTGTTGTTCACATCTTGTCTGGTATGTGACTACTTATTGTGGAGGTTAAAACCAGGCAAAAAAAAAAAAAAGAAAAATTGAACTATAAAAAAGGCCATTTTTGAACAGTGCTTTTGCAGACAAGTAACAAAAAAATGGAGATCTGATTGGCTTACAGAATGTTGTAATCCTCCTCTAGCAGGCATAGTTGAGCCTGGATATTCTGGGATCATGACTCATGAAAACAAAGGGGCTGATTGTAGGGTAACAAGAAGTGATTAGTGCAGAGGTGTTCACCAGCCACCAACTGGGCTTATGAGAAAGAGAGAGATATAATGAAAGGATAGAGGAGAGGGTTAAAAATGATACAAAGGTGCTCACTAGGACAAGGATACTCTGGGTGATCCTGGACTCAGGGGATGGTCTGGGAGAGGGGCTGGTTCCATGAATGTGTTGGACTCGCTGCTTGTGCCTTAACAGGATGAAAACCATGGAGCTTCTGGCCCAGATCATGAGTACCAGACACAAAACATCATAGGATAATAACAGTGAGTAATGTACTGGTTGTACAGTACTGCTGCTAACAGCTCCTGAACAGTATCCATAGTCAATTTTTTTAGTGCTGTTTTTGCAGTTGCACTTGCCACTCATGTACAGAAGAACATGGATATTGACCAGCA